AAGCGCTTGATGGTATCGTCAGTGCTGTGTGCGAGGCTGCCCGAACAAATCGTGATGAAGTCATCGAAATAGCAAACCCAAGGGAGGCTTAACCCAACAGTCCCTATGAACCAGATGCTATGCACTACGCGCAGAAACGAATAAACGCTTCTGCACGCGCCGAAAGGCAACGCTTTGAGCCTGAAGCACACGGGGGCGGCACGCTCATGGTCCCAGATGCAAACGTACGAGCACCAAGCGGAACTCTGGGACACCGCCAGCTGTCGATATGCTGCTTTCAAATCATGGGTACGACCCAAGAGTGGCTCATTGGTGGACCTCATGAGCTGAATGGCAAGTGCAGCAAGAACGTCGGTGGAATGGGGCTTTGGAGACTCATTTGTTTGGACACACGAGTTGACGTGCGATGCACTGAGGTCGTCTATCAGACGTACCTTTGACCCTTGCTGGATCCCGAACCGGCGAGAGACTACTGAGCCGTTAGGCAGCTCAGACGGATCAAAGGGCCCTTCTAACCAACCTTTCTGTAGTTCTTCAAGGGTTTGCTTCTTTACTTCTTGGTCAAGCAAATCACCCTGCGACTTAACACTCCGGAAGACACTGTGCCTGCCCTCATCGGCGGTGTCTCGCAACAAGTCCTCGGACATTGCCGCGGGTTTGAAAACAGGGTTGAATAGCCCAGTACTCGGAACTTCACCAGTCAACACGGTCCCTGAAATCACCTCCTCGATGACAGTTTTGTCAGGGTAGTTGAGGTCATCTAAGATTTCGCGCCAGACAAGAAGGTTTTTAGGTTCAAGGATGCCTCGGACGTCGGGATGCATGCCATCCTTGAGTTTGCATTCGTCTGTCCTGAGTTCCAAGCACCGTTTGAACCATTTTTCAAACCAAGCTGTGCGCTTCCCTTCAAGGGCCGACGCTGTCGTCGCATTGCAATTCACTTCGACGGCTTGAAGAAGTTCGCTGGGTAATTGTGCTTCTTGGGCCACAGGGTGGACAGCTTTGCAAGCACACTGAATGAATTCACTTGGCGACCACGGAATGCCCCACGCCAATTCAACATGCCTACGAGTTTCCTCATCCTGCTTTCCCATTTTAACCGGACTGAGACGCAGCAACTGAGCATAGGGAGGTATGACCTTCAAGCTGCATTGACAATCCGCAGGCACCGGCCAAGCCTGCTCGAGGCGTTGCATGGGTTGGCAAGGCGGGACCAGGCTGGCGGCAGGCCCCCGGACCACGCAAGTGGTCTTGTACTCCGGGACCAAGGCTGGCACCTTGCTAGCTTTTGGTTGAAGTCCAGCCAGGCTGCGTAACGCCGGAAGCTGGAGGCCCGGCGGCTCGACAGTGGGAAGGGCACTCGCGAAGCACTGCGCAATGGCATGAGCCAAGGGACGAGGGTAGGCGGTCTCCCGACTGGTGGCGAAACCGTTGGGGGCCGCGGGGTCGACACCCCAAGACGCATGCGCAGGGCAGCCGGGACACAGCTTGCACAAGGACTCGAAAGAAGGGTGCGTGTAGGCAATCCGGGTGAACTTGGGGCGGTCGCCACCATAGGCGCACGCCTGGTGATCCACATAGCGAAAAGCATGAGCCACGTCGCGCCAAAAGGAAGTCTTCCAAAACAAGGATGACCGCGGATTCTCCACAGCAATCAAGATGCCACGCTGCACACCCAGGCGCACGGCCTGTCGAAGCGCCAGGTAGCTTTCGTTTGCAAGGCGCACACGGCGAGCATCACCGGGGGGGAGGTCGGGCATACCGTCCGGGTGACGGTCTGACCGCAGAGGCCGGGGCACAGGCACCGGATTGCCCTGGCTGTCCCAGCACGGAATGCCACGAGCCAGAGAACACGTGCCACAAGCCGGAGCGGCGAACAACCCCAAGACGCGCGGGTTTTGCACAAGTTGGAGCAGCTGGGCAAGGCCGTCTGGCGTAGAGACATCGAGCACCCAGGGCGGGGCGGCACACCCAACGCTCTTGACCTTGTCAATGGCAACAGCCTCAAAACCAAGTGCACGCAGGGCCGCAGTGACGCGACCAGACCCGGAGAATAACTCCAAAATTAAAGGCGGGGTGGGGGGCGTGAGGGGCCGCACAGGGGCAGGCTGGACTAGGGAACCGGGATTAAGGAAACCCAAACTAAGGAGTTCCTGTCGTTCCTTCTCGGACAGCCGCTCCCAACCCTGAAGGCAATATCCCACAAGCAAACACCGAACGCCTTTCCAAGGGAGTGTGGCATGCAGGCGGCTGGCGTCTAAGGTCTGGGGCCCCAAACTGACGCGGAGCCGTATGCCCAGGGCATCGTGCCCTGCCAGCGGAACACCGCCAACTGGAGATTCTTGCCAGACGTCGCCGTCCCGGAAAAGGCTGAGTGGCAGAAGCAGGTTGGGGAAACCAGGCACGTTGCAGGAGTCAACGTGCGGTTCCGCGCGCAGGTTTGTGAACACAGCAGCATTCGTGAATGCGTGGCCAGGGAAGTGCTGGCGAAGTAGAGCACAAAAGAAACGTGTCACAGCGGGGAAACGTTTCGTGAAGCCGCGAACGCCCGCACGGGCACCCCAGGTCCACATGCCGCAGGTCCAGGAGTGAGACGCACTATGCGCTTGGCCCCGTGCGGGGACCTCAGAGGGAAGCAGGCAAAGAATGCGCCGGGCAGCTTCAAGCGAAGGGCTGTTGACAGAGGCACGGGCAAGATGCTCCGCACGAGCCACGTCCACGACCCACTGGCAGGGCGAAGGCTGTTCACGTAAGTCAAGAGCCACAGCAGGCCTGGGGGCAGAACAGGATGCATCATCAGCGCGGACTGGCGCCTGCACAGTCGCTTCACGTACAGGTGCTTCAGGGCGGGGCTCGGTATGGGGGTCCACCGGGTCCATTCCGGGCCCTTTTTCCGCCGTTCTTTTGTCAGAAACCGTCCGTTCTTTTGGATGGCAATTCGGACGCAAAAGAACGGGCGCTCTTGGGGAACTTGGAAGCCCCCAAAACCCAGCAACAAGCCCCACATCGGACCCCAGCGAACCCTCATAGGGCTCGGGTTGGGGTGGCAGGTCACTTGCAGAGCCAGGTGACCTGACGGACGCGGCAGTGCTAGTGGGAACAACAGAGGTGCTTGAGGAGGGAGCAACCGGGGGCCTAGGGGAGGGAGGAGACTTAGGGAGCAGAGACACGGGCTCACCAAGGGGCCTGTATGCAGGAGAAAGATTAGCCCGTTCGCGAACTTCCAGAACAGGTTGGCCTGAAGCGGGGAGATCGCGAGACTCATCTGTGCAAAGGGCAGGAGTCAGCACCTGCGGGGGAAGGTCAGACATCTTCGCCACGTCAGGCTGGCTAGCAGAAAACGAATTCGAAGTGACACTGGTCGAAGCGGCTTCTGGCGATAGTCACTCTTTGCGCTGGCACTGCATGAGGCTATGATTGCCGAAACAACGCGCGCAGACATGGGCACGGGGGCAGTTGGCCACCCGGCACTCCCCAAGGCTGAACCCGTAGCAGATGGCTTTGCCATCGGGCGTTTGGGCTTTGCCACCCTTGTCGAGAATGGCCTTGGGGACAGCCGCACGGTTGGCAGCACCTTTGCCTGGACCTTTCGGGGGGCGAGCAGGCGGGTCCTTGGGCGCAGGGGGAATCTTCTCAGCTTTATCATCCTTCTTGCCCTTGTCATCTTTGGTCTTCTTGCGCTTCCTTCCTCGACCGCCGCCACTCCCAGCAGCCGTGCTTCCACGAGGGATCAAGACGAAGGAAACGCGATACGACGAGAGCGCTTCAAAGAGAGCGTCATCCATGGCGCGGGATCCGTCACTCTTGCGCCGGGGCCGGATTCCTTTCTCAAGCATCCACACATGAACCAAGCGGTCAGCCTCGACAACTTGATGCAGCTGGCAAGCACCCCCTGGCAGGGCGTCGGGGTTTGTCAGGTGTCGCATCAGCTCATTGACGTATTTTTCATGTGCAAGAAAATCAACCACATCTGCAAATGCCAGCGCCAGTCCTCGACGACGGAATGCTGCAGAGAGGAGCAAGGGGTTGTGAACTTGGGCGTCACACGGGAGCTCCTGGTCCTTGAGAACAAGCCGCTGCTGCTCCAGCTCGACGACACGGGCGAGGGGCTTGGCAAGGGCTACCTCGCTCAAGCGGGAGGTGCATTTCTCAGGGGCGATATACCTTATCTCATCCAGCGAACTCATGGTGCAGGCCAATTCCAACAGGGCCCGGCTGGGCTCCGCATCACCTTCTATGATCACACCGGAAACCTTGGCCTTTAAAGCAGCCATGCGTTTGTCGCGCTCTGCTTCTGCAAGGGGTCGGGCGGCAGAGGCACTGGGGTTGGTAACCTGGTCCTTGAGATCTGCCAAGGTAAGTGTTTGCGCCTCGAAGACGAGTCGGCGTACACTCGCAGCTTCCCCGGCTGATGCGGCGGGGATGGAGGTTTGGACCCAAGTATGCCACTGATCATCGGCTAGCTGTTGACCTGGTTGGCCCACGCAATAAGCGAGCTGCCCAAGAGTCTCAAAACCCAGACGCGTCAAGGTACGTATGAGGGGCTCGCCGATGCGGAACAGCTTGCATCTCGCCTGAAAGTGAGCGGCAGACTCCAGCACAGACATGGGGCTCTCACGCAGCGCACTCGAGAGGCTACTTAGGGGCACCTACTTCACATGACAGAATGCACCCGAACAACTTCACATGACTGAGTGTAACTGAACATCAAGATGTCAATCAGGAATCAACACAACAAATCATGGCATGAAAGCATTGGTCATGTCGTCACCAACCTCGACTTGATGGGGGGGCGAGAGAGAACAAGCAGCCGACATGACTCACGTTCACTCATGCTCAACCCCCCCCCCCCTTGTCCGTGCACTCGACCGAAAAAGGCAGACAGCAGCATGACAGTTGTGAGGGCGCAACACTTCATTGCAGACCCTGGGTCGACTACTTACCTTCGCAAGCAGACGGACCCGACTTTTCCACAACCGTCAAATGCATCGCCGGCAACCTTAACACTCGACCGCATCCAGGTCAGCATCCTCGGCAACTCTGTACGCATCGGAGCGCACACGTCCGCATGCAAGAACTTGAAGGCACGCATCAAGAGTGCTTTGGCCGCGGACCAAGTGCAACTTGCGGGAACGACGGTGGATCACCCAGACGTCGGACTCATCCCGTGTCTCAGGCAGAAAGCGGCGGGCCTTTTTGCTGAGGGGAGGGCTGGAGGAATGGGTCACACTGTCCGAGCTGCTGCTTCGGGAGGCCTCAGAATCAGAGGAATCCTCACTACTCTCATGCGCAGACTCCTCGGCTTCGGAGGCGGAATCTTCAACTTTGATGGCTCCGGAGGGTCGCACGACAGGCAAAATCGGTGCTGGGCCAGGAGAGGCTTCACAGGACTCACTCCAGAAAGCGCGTAAAGGAGCATCTGGCATGAACACCCCAAGAGCAACCTGATGCAACAAGCGAGAAAAGGCCAACGACGGGGCCGCGCTGAGATCACGGCTGTACACAACCTCAGTCGTGAGTTGATTGCGAGCATGCCGACCCAAGACAGCACAAGTATCACGGTCCATGCCAGCGCGCGTGCCAGCCTTGGATGCCCAGGACAGGCCAGTGACCTTGAGGGAATGGGAGGACACGCCGGAGTCCTCAGGCAAATCGAGGGCTTGACGAAGCATCCTGGACACTTCTTGCGAGGACACGGGGCGAGCACAGAGGGCAGAGCACTCAGCATCAAGGGGTGGGCGGAAAATGGGCCCGTCAATCTTGCCAATTAAACACAGGTTAACAGCTTCAAACGCCTGGATTGCAAGAGGCAGCCAGGGACGAGAGACCACTCCCTGTGCAGGGACCAAGATATGCAAAAACTACGCCTTCTTCTTGGCGGTGGTCGAGGTCTTGTGACGACCTGTTCGAATCTGCAGAAAGCCCGAAACACCATCGAAATCGCACTCCAGGTCCCAGATGCACTGCAGGTCAGAGTGCCGACATCGTCCATAGACGGCGATCAAGGCATATGCAGCGAAGCAACGCAACAGGGGGTCGTCGCTGCCTTCGAGAAGTTCATGCAATTTGCAAACCTGATCAACTGTTAATGCACGAGCCTGCTTGAGCCAACGGGTCTTAGCAGCCAACTGCTGACTGGCACCGACGATGCGCCGGCTAGAAATGCATACCTGCACATCCACCTCAAGGACGTAGTGCAAGAACCGCATGGCAGAAAGCAACGTCGAACCGCTGGTCGGAGGCTTGTTTTCTTTCTTCAAGTACTGAAAATGTTCCCAAACAAGAGTCTCTTGGAACACACCCGAGAAGGACAGATTTGCAAGGGGCTGACCATCGACCCAACGAAGACAGGCGAGGAGGGAATTGGCCCTCTTGATCAACGTGTAGGGGCTGCGGAGCCCCGTCCTGGCCTCAATGTCCTCAGGGTCGGGCGGCTGTCCTGTGCACCGTTCCACGACGACACATAACTTATTGATTGCAATGTGAAGCAAACTTCGAAGGGTCTCATTAATATCGCAGTCAGCAACATTAGAAATCGTGGTTTGAAAGAATGACTTCAAGTCGGTCACATGCTCCAAGCACTCGACCAGGCGTGCTCACCTCTGGCGGTAACAAGGGCTCCAAGGATGGGGATTGCACAGCAAAGTCGGCATCATCACTGAAAATGCACTTCATAGGACCTTGCTCCCACGGCAGACGGATTTGCGTCAAATTTCGGGATGGGCAAACAATCTGATCAATGAAGCTGGTGTCAACGCGGGACTCGAGAGGTAAACCTGCACAACCCTCAGAATCAGGATGACGGGTGTCATCTTCAGTGTCAGGAGAGCAAGCCCCCAGTGGGCCAACACCTGCATCTTCGGCGACGTTGAAGTCGCCATCGGACACACTGAGACATTGTCGGAAAGAACAGAAGCAGTCCCTGAACTCCCCCCAACAGAAGCATTCCCTAAACTCCCCCCTTTGTCCGAAAGCACAGTCAGCGGCCCAGGCGCAGGGGCCTCGAGGGCAATCACTGCACAGGCAGGCAAGGTCGGGGGCTCAGGCGGGAAAGGATGCTCCGCGACTGCGACCCAGCTGCTGGCGGAACCAGAGGCTTCAGTAGCACTGGCCGGATCGGACATGCTTAAGAAGGCAAAGTGACCAGGTCATTGCTTTGTACATGCAGTACATGCAGCCACAAGCAACAGCCACCTGCGATGACCCGCTGCATCTTTCAGGTTGCGCGTTGGATGTGCCCTGGCTCAAGCTTAGGGTGGCTGGCTGACTGAACAAGGAACCCATTGTGTGGAGGGTTGTAACGCTCCTGACTGGTTTTTTCTCGCCTTTCTGCTTCTTCTCTCCTGTGTGCTGTGCTTTTTGTTTGGTCCTCCCTTTCCTGGAGTCCCTCTCTGGTTTTTGTCAGGGCTTTCCAGGGATCTTGGTGTCTGGAGGTTGCCTCGAGGCCTGTGGGGCAGTCACATAAGTTTGGCCTGCCATGTTCGGTGAGTGATGCCATGGAGTCGTATGTCTGTCAACCGTACGCGATCCGGGTTGGAGCGCAAGTGCTCCAAGTCCACGTTGCCAGGAGAGGGCAACTCACTGCACTTTTCACTTTAGGGACCAGTAATATTGCAATGACCAGGCAGATGCAAGCCCGCGTCATTCTGCCTCATGAACTCGATGCTGCCGGTTGGTGCCGATACTTTCCACCGGAAATACAACCCTTGTCTCATGGGGCGAGCGGTGCCTGGTTTCGCAATAGACCTTCCCTCTTGGGCGAGTGTTGTCACCAAACAAGGAGCGGGTGGGGAGACAGCCCCTGTCTCCCGGGCAAACTCCAGTGCTGACCATGCGCTGGGACCTCAGAAGCCTGATGATCTCGCGCAGGCTAGAAAGTAATCAGAATTTCCCTGAGCCCACCTCTAGCGGCGTGCTGCCATTGAAACTGGCCTCGGGAACCATTTCCGGCGAACCGTCTGAGCTGCAAGGTCTCCACCCAGAGATTGACCACAATGCATGACTCGGCTGCCTACTTCCACAGCTCCGAGCTGCTAAGTCCGCAGGAGCCCATGTCCTGCTCTTGGTCACGGATAGTCGCTGCTTCTTGTCTATTCCGCACTTCCCCTACTTTGTCCGGCATTTGGTAGCACGCATGCAGTGGGAAGGCCCGTTTAAGGAGAGGTGGTTTCCCATCTTGGTTAACACCAAGGAAAGCGGGGCTAGCTTCTGTGCACTTTACGTGGGCGGGGCCCGAAATTCTGGCAGTCCTCAGAGTCCTTGCGCCAGGGGTGGTCTTGATGTTGCTTGACCATGACACCTTGTTCACTGCCAGGTGGGAAGCAGAAGAGCTGCGAAGGTTTGCAGTCCTCGATCTACTGCCCAATACCCTCTCGACGGAGTCACTGGGCAGCATGGAAGTCGAGACGGACGAGACACAGCCCTGTGGCTCGCTTCCAGCCTCGCCGTGGAGTTGCTCGCCGGACGGGTCCATACCGTGTGGGGCCCGATCGCCAAACTCAATTGGCATGGTTTGTGCGTCCGAGGACCAGCTTGAAGCAAATGGGGGATTGGTCCTCTTCTACCCGAATGCTCCGGACGGCAAACATCCCCGGCCCCCTCGCTTCTGCATCCCTGGCAACGTCGCTAGTGCGGTGACCTCAATTGGTACTGCGTTGAGCCGAGCCCTGCAGCTAGTCATCATGCCCAGTGAAGTGCCCACTCCATTGCCTGGTATGCATGAGCAGGTGCCGTTGGACCAGATCCATTATCGGCAATGTCTACGCAACACCCCTCTTGCCGGAACCACTGCTCACAAGCACTCTGACTTTGTGTTTGCGTGGGCACTTTTAGGAAGATACATACATGAGGTTGCGTGGAAAACGGCCGACCTTACTGCTGGCCGGCCAGAGCCAGACATCCAGTTTGGCGCCTCCCCAGTCAGGCAGGTCAGAGGGGTCAAAACATGGGGACAAGGCCCATATGAACAGGGATTTCTTCCCTTGCTCATGGGTTACGGCGGCTCGCACTCCCGTTTGGCAATCCTACCTGGTCCTGACTTATTCATGGCGAACCGATACGCCGAGGTTATACCCCCTCCTTTTGTGCATGGATATGGTGCCAAAGGCAAAAACATCTTGCCGCAGTGGGGGAGTGTGGTACGGCTGCCTACTCTACCCGAGTCGGTCTGGGGCAACGGGGACACCGTCCCTCTGTGGGCCTCTGTTGGGAAAAAGGGCAGTGGACCAGTGCGGCTCCAGCTCTTCCCTGGGGTCCTCATGTTTTGGAAGAAAGATGCCCTATCTTCCTGCAGGGCCACCCCGAAATGGCGCAGTCGACCCAATACCCCAACTGGGCCGCTTGCTCTTCTTGCTGCCGCTGCGCATGCTTGGCTGGCCCAGGCGGATCTGCCGTGGCCTCTCTTCGCTGCAGACATAAAGGTCACGCCGTTGGGCCTCAGTCAATACTGGGATGATGGACTAGCCATGCGTGTGCAACAAGCCCTGGCAGCCTTTGCCTTTCCTGCCTACCAGTACCCGCCTCCAAAGCCTCACCTAACCCCCTCAGGGGAATGTCGGTCGCTCTTCATTAGCGGGATGAATGGGAAGGCCGAGAATACGCCCCCCACTGTGTCGGGTAGCATCATTCACACAGCCAATTCCTATGCACTCACTGGCTTAGAAATGGAAACAGTCCGGGACAACCAGGGCAAAAAGGTCCGATATGAGGACACACAACGCCCGTTGTTGCTTTCGACCAGCGGTAATGCCGCACATGCATTGTTGCTCCTGCCCCAAGCCGCCCAGCTATGGGCACGTGCTCTGTACCCTCAGGTCGAAGGATGCGGTCTGCCAGCGGCGGTTCGTGCTAGAATCAGCTCGGTAGAAGCCTCCCTGACAATGTGCCCTGCCCTGGCTCACTTGCACATGCCACATACTGCTGCGCTGACCGCTCTGCATGTGGGCCTCGCCGCGGGTAGAGCTGGCGAGTGCAAACTGTGCGTTACGGGTTTCTCTGCTGGGTCGTATACGGGCGCTGCTGTGGCTATCGCTTGGCATGAGCGCCAAAAGCTTCCTGACTGCAAGGGCGATTTTGTCCACATCAAGGCACGTTTGGGCGGCGTTGCCATGCCACGGGCCATGCTGCAATATATCCTGGGTTCGGAATTGCGGCACGCTGTTAGTCTTGTCCATCATGAGAGCGACCAGCTTTGTATCTTCCGGCCCAGCCAGGCAGCAAGGACGCAAGCGATTGGCGCGGGAGCGCGTCTCTACTACTTCACTGGACCTGAGTCACTTGGCAGTGGTGGACACTCTTATGGTCACTTTGTCCACAGTGAAGAGCTATTCCAGCTCACGCCGGGGGATTATGTGCATAAGGAATTGACTAAAAAGATTTGCGGCTTGGCCGACCCCCGGATGGATCGCACAGTGCGAGCAGGTTTGATGGGGGTTGCGTGTGGCTCTGTCCAGCTTTCGGATAAGTCTAAAACTTTCATCAACTCCGTGCTGGGACGGCAAATCAGACGCCCCGATATGGAGGCTTTTCTCCGGATACCTTCCGCTGAGAACCGGAGCATTGCAAGTCTCCGTGCTGACTGTACCCAAGTCCTCCTGACGGATGCCAAGCCGCATCTGGCTGATTTGCCGCCCCCGTATCATGAACTTGGTCCCACGATGAAACTAGTTTTGGGTATGTGGCTCCCCCACCTGTCGTTAGAGCGCCTGGTTGACATGCTGGGTTATCAGTTTTTAGCCATGGCCTCGGAAGCAGAAATCGAGGAGGAGCCCTCGGAACAGTATCACTACCCAGAGCAAGCTGCGGTCAAGCGGGCCGCCACCCCTGTGGCGATAAAGCCCGGCACGCATACATGGCCAATCTGCCTTCTCCATCGAGTTTACCCAAGGGCATCGGTCATGCTCCTTACACCGGAGTTGGCGGATGTCCCTGACTGGGCTACAAAGTGGTTTGCTGTCGCTGGTAAAGTGCCGGCCAAGGGCACTGCTTTGCTGGTTACCTTGAGAGAAGACAAGGGGGATGTGGCCTACCCAGGCATGTTTATAGAGCTCCTTGCCCCGAAGAAGCTTTTCACCGGCCCTGGAGAAAGTAAGGCCATGCAGCCAGTCAATATAACCATTGCCCTGCTCTTGACTGATGAACAGCACAACCAATTCGCGCAACGACCCTCACTGCCGAGAGTCAGCCAGCTTGAGGTTCTGCCCGGAGGAGCCTCTACCCCGCTTTGGGATGCTCTGTTACACATGCCTAGGGAAAGGCAGCATGTTGCATTGGGCGTTCCGCTAGAAGACTCGCCTCTTGATGCCATCCGGCAGCCACAGTGGTTGCCGGGCTTTCTCACAGATTTAGTGCTTGTCCTCCTTATCGGGCTAGTGGTGAGAGGGAACTGGCACGACACATGGGCACAGCTCATTCACCCGGAGGTCTGCCAAGTCTTCAGAGGCAAGCACGAAACGCAAGCTGCGCAGGCATCGCTTACTGCGGGTCCGGGGGCTTCCAACCCCTTGCAAAGCTTCCTCAACCTTTGGCTTGCGGAGGAACAATCCTATCGCAAAGAATGGACGCCGACGCTGCTGAGTGGCGTGTTAGCTACGCTGCCTGACTCTCCGCTGCCCGGCCAAGAGGACGCCCGGACTCCTGCGCTGTGGCATGCGGAGTGTCTACGCCTGTCCCATGAC